GTGGGGCTGGCCTGCTGGGGGGAGAAAGCCACCAGCACCCTGCCCTCATCCTGCGCCTGGCACGTGGGAGAGGGCTGAGGTCCCGGGGGACGTGGGTGGGGGCTCTGGGGGACTGAGGTCCTGGGAGACGTGTGGTGGGGCTCTGGGGGGCTGCCCAGGTCCTGGGTGCCTTTTGCAGGGGAGGACCATGGCGATGCCCACCCTGCCACTCATCGTCCTCGTCCTCTGCCTCACCACCTGCATCCTGCAGGCTCAAGGTAGGGACATATTTCCTCCTGGCATCAGGCTGGGTGCTCTGGGGGCCGTTCGGGGCTCCCCGGGCTGGGGCAGGATGGGGAGCAGGGCAGGGTGCCATGTGCCGAGGCTCAGCTCCCGACGTGGCTGCAGCAGAGCTGGAGGAGGTGGAAAGCGACATGGACTCCCTGGAGAAGGAGCTGCAGCAGGGCTGCAGCAGCGCCCACCACGCCAGGGAGAGGTGAGCACCAGCTCCCCAGACCTCCGTCATCCCCCCCAGACCCACGGGGGCCGGATCCTGCTGCACCCTGCCCCAAACACCCTCCCCGTGCAGGTTAAACCGGCTGGAGAAGAAGCTGGCCCGCCAGGAGAAGCTCAACTTCACAGGCGGCATGGTGGAGACCTACATGTTCAAGTTCATGGCTGAACGCTTCAGAGGATTAAAGCTCAGCAGCAGGATGGTTGGTCCCCCCGCGCTGCTGGGGCCGTTCCCAGGGGATGCCGGTACCCCCCAACCCCCTCCATCCCTCCGTCCTGGGTGGGAGGTGCCGGGGGGCTGCTGGGGTGGTTGACGCTTACCCACACTGGGTTTCCATCATCCTCCAAGGATGCTTTACGCCAGTGAAGCCTCCTGAGAAACGGGTCTGCCAGGGTGCCACAGGCAGCCGGGGCTGCAGGTCCCCAGCACTGTCACTGGGATAAATCTGGGGGCCTCTAAAGCCAGGGGGGTTTCTGCAGCTGAGCACCATGGTTTCCATCCTGAAGCTCTTCTGATTTATGAAAAGAGAAGCCCTGGCCCCCACCTCCCCGCGGCGGGAAGGGAGAGGGAACCTGCAGCGGGGAGCATGCAGGGTGACTTCCCCGTCCCAGTGGAAGGGGTCATGTGGCCGCACATCCCCCCACCATGGGGCTGCCCGGCCAGGGACCTCCGACCGCCCCAGCCAGAGGTGCCCTCCTGCGGGACAAGGCAGGTTTTGCAGGCAGGGG